ATTATTATGGGGTGGGGGTCTCCTGTTTTCAAAGGTACGATTAGCAAGAAAATGGCCACCAAAGTTTGGTGACTTCCAAAGCTGGAGAGTCCTTGGAAACTGAGAATTTACTTCTTTTTTCCCCCTTTTCGTCAACGGTTTTCAGTAAAATTTACGCTTAAATGCGTCTTTAAATGGAAAAAAGTGTTGCCCCCCCCCCCAAAAAAAAATGCAATAAAATTGCCGATTTCTTCAATTTCATTGTTTTGACAAGCACCTGATGTTCTTAGGATGCCTCACATATTTTAACCTGGATCAATCAAAATGACCTGTTCGAGATGACTAACTCTGTCGTAAATTATGTTTTGGCCCCTGACGCTGTGGACAAGCCGTCATAATCCATTCACCTGTCGTTATTGTTAGTCCTTCACTCCAATGTCCAATCATGTTGGGAAGGTCCCACGCACTGTTGTTTACCCAAGTTGACCACTATGTGACTACCCCTCAGAGACAGTGGAACATCATATGTTCTTCTGTAGAAAACTAACTGATTTAAGGGGATGTTTTCTTCCCAAGCTACCCCACACATCTAATTGCCTCTACTCCTCAAGACAACAATTAGAACAGACATGCAGCTATTACCGAATGGCATCATGCAGAAGAGTTAACGCTCAGATGCTACTGGATCGCTAACAACAACAACAACAACAACAACAACAACAACAACGACCACCCGGTGACAACAACTTTTCAGCTTCTAGTGAGGGCAGCGTGTGGTCCTTGATAACAAATTATAAAGTCCCGCCCACAACTTATACACACATCGTGAGTGAGATGACCGGTCTCTGTTTACCCAGTCTTTAACAATGGACGTGAACATGAACTTGTGACAGTGGCGTCGGTGACCTAGTGGTTAGGCTCTCGGACTCGCAACCGCAAGGTCGTGGGTTCGAATCCCGTCAGGGGCCCGACGTTGTGTCCTTGGGAAAGGCACTTTGCACAAATTTTCCTCACTTCACCCAGGTGGGAATGGGTACCCAGCTATAGACAGTGAAAGATCTTTGTCAGTTTGATAGTGTTTGAGCGCGTGAAATCTGCAGCTTGCACTGTATGCTTCCGCGGAAGTTGAGAATGTTTCTGATTCTGAGTCTTCTCAGAGGGTCTGCTGGGGTAATAATAGTAGTAAAGCGCATAGAGCAAGCTCTTGAGCATAAATATGCGCTGTATAAATGCAATTATTATTATTAATAAGCGTCGCTCGTTCTCCGAGGGGTGGCGACCTATTTGTTGTTTTTATCTTGTCTTCCTGTCTACCACATTTCTTTGTGCTCTACACTTGCCCACTGTCTTCCCCATTTGATAAACTTTGTGGAATTTAACATTTATTACAGCAGTAGTCGTGAGACGTCGTCTCTCTGCGGAAACAAATTAAATATGTTTCGCTCATTCAGATAAATCCAGCTGCTGATGACGCCATCAATGTAGAAATGTAACCCATGTCCTGAGCCTGCAACCACCTCCATGTGGGAACTCAAAAAGGGAATGTTAAAAAAACAACAACAACAAAAACCCAACCCCTTCCATACAAGAAAATAAACAAAAACAAAACAAAAACAAAGAGACAGAAAAAACACCTAACAACAATAAAAAATCAGCAAAAACAGCACGCCCTCCAAAAAACAAATAATAACCCCCCCCCCCCCTCCAAAAAAACCCCTTCCCAATCAACAACAACAAACAAACAATACAGACGCAAACACAGGAGCGGTCATTAGGTTGACATTCACAATTTTGTTATCGAAGTGGCTAGCCGTACTAAGATCCAGGTTTGGCCCTATCGACTCAAGCCTGTTAAGTACACAGGTCTCACAAGATCTATATCTAGATCTAGTAATTATTCAGGTTCAAATACATGCAAGTCAGTAAGGCACCTTTTGGTTTTGTATGAAATACAAATAGCCTACTTTAGGCATTGCAAACTAAAAATTTCATTTACAATTCAGCCATCAATATTAAGTACGGCTAGCCTGACAGTCTAGCCGTCCTTAAGTACGACTAGCCTGGCTGTCTACTCGTACTTAAGTACGGCTAGACAACGGCTAGACTGCCAGTCTAGCCGTACTTATCTTAGGCCCTATTAACATTAGAAAACAGGAGGTTTTAAAATACATGCACTGTCATTAAGGCACCTGGTTTCGTCTCAAATACAAATACTTTAGGTACTGCACACTAAAAATGTATATTTACAATTCAGTAGGCCTATTTTTTGTAAATGGTCAGTCTAGCCATCACATTAAGAATAAGTACGGCTAGACTGCCAGTCTAGCCGTCATTAAGTACGGCTAGCCTCTTCCTTTTGTTATTCGCACACACATGACACTAACTGAATAGCTCGTATTGATGACGATATGAATGATTCTTTTTCCTACCTGTTGGGAAATAAAAGAGACGTTTTATGTAAGAGACACAAGCACTGGTACAGGGCGTTACAAGAAAACCGTTGACATTACGGACTGTATCTACAGCCTTGCACTTGCAATACTTTAAACACTTTGCGGTCACTTGCCGCAAGAATGAGACGGTGAAAATTCTCCGTTCCGGTCACGTGGTGCAGTTCTGCGCAAGGCCCGAGAAGTCTGTTGCAGTCACTCTCGTCCTGGCTGTGTGACCAGGTGGGGTATTTTGTACTGCTGGCTGGGTGACCAGATGGGGTATTTTGTACTGCTGGCTGGGTGACCAGGTGGGGTATTTTGTACAGCTGGCTGGGTGACCAGGTGGGGTATTTTGTACTGCTGGCTGTGTGACCAGGTGGGGTATTTTGTACTGCTGGCTGGGTGACCAGGTGGGGTATTTTGTACTGCTGGCTGGGTGACCAGGTGGGGTATTTTGTACTGCTGGCTGTGTGACCAGGTGGGGTATTTTGTACTGCTGGCTGTGTGACCAGGTGTGGTATTTTGTACTGCTGGCTGTGTGACTGTAAAGTGTTTAAAGTCACCAGCGAATGAAAGGTTTTAAGATAACGACAGGAAGTTAATCAAAATATCGATCTTAGTTGTTTTTTTTTGTGCTCGATTTAACAATCTCAACTTTCATACGATCGTCAGTGCGGGTGCTCTGGTGTGGTTTGCACCTTTTTTTCTACCAACATCTATCGTCCTTGTCTCTCCTTTTTTTCTTTATAGTGGCTTCGGTGTCCTTGTGGTTAGGCTACCGGACTCGCAATCGTGAGGTTGCGGGTTCGGGGGTTCGAGCCTCAGCTCTGTCCGACGTTGTGTCCTTGGGAAAGGCACTTTACACGAAATTCACATTTGGCTCGGTCCTTTCGGGGGTGGACGTTAAACTCGAGGGTCCCGCCTCTTAAATAGCCTTATAGTGTTGTTAGAGGCGTTAAACCTATACCACTTCTTTTCTTTGTACGTTACTGTCAAATTTTAAAAAAATCATAATCTCCAGCACTTATAATATCTCTATTTGTGGGTGTTTGGCGGGTGCTCTGGTGTGGTTTGCTTTTTCTTTCCTATCAAACATCTATCGTCATTATCTCTCCTCCTTCTTTTTGTGTTTGTTACTCTCTAGTAAACCTTTAATCTTCGGCACTTGTATGACCTTATTGTGTTGCAAGTGCCGTAAAACTCTTACTAAAACAATCCTATCTCTATTTGTGTTGCAAGTCCCTTAAAACTCTTACTAAACCTTTTTGTAAGATCCCCAAATCTCTCTGTGTTGTCTCCCTACCAGCCTCTACAACCACCCACCCAAACCCGCCGGCCGGCCGAGATACCTGGGCCTGTACTCTGACCTTGGCCCCTGTCCACCCAACGAGACGGTCATCAAACACTTCTGAACCAAGGATGTTATACAGTTATCTGACGCCACCCCGTGCCTTCTTGCCTCTTGCCTGTCTGTTGGAAGACTTACTTCTTACCCAGTGAACCGTAAATAGAACCAGTGATGATTTCTTACCCAGTGAACCAAAACAAAACCAACTATGACCTTGTTTACCCAGTGAACGGTAAATCATACTTTACCTTACTTTTTACTTTACTTTCCCGATCCAGTGATTATCGTAGTTCTAGCCCTTCGGCCTATTCGCAAATCATAAAAGATTGAAAAAAAGCCTCATTGACTGGCAAAATAAAACCAACAATGACGTCATTGGCCATCTCATGTGTGTCATAGGCCTACTTTGATAGTAGACATAGCACTCTCGCTTTTCAAAGCACATTGTCCGCACCGCCAACAGAATTCATAATTTGATCGAGTCGGGACCAATATAGTCTTTTTCTCTACGGAGTGGCAAAAGCTACCATTTATTTGGCACAATTAGACCAAACTCAACAAAATTCGAATGTGATCTCCAAAATTAAAAACATTTGTGTTTGAAAGTCGCCAGTCGAGTCTGTCGTATTGTGTCAACATAGTACCTTTTGCCACTTCATCGCCATAGACGAACATTTGACTGACCTCGACTCGGTTCAGCTGAATTCGATTCGGGGTGTGCACTGGGTGGTCTTACTCTATCTAGGAATCAAGGGTACTGTGTCTTTCATCTACGTCTGATACACACGAGAATGCTAATGACGTCATCGTTGGATCTGTTTTTGGAGTCAAAGTAAAAGGAGCCACCTCCCTGACACACCCTAGCTCAATATTATGGCTCCATTTGCCCCTCTTTGTCGTTTCATCTGCTATTCATAAATTATGATGATGTTCTCTTGACATGCTGAGGAAACATTTCGCTGAATGTTTCAACAGCTGCTGATCAATAGCAGTGTATTTGGAGACTCTAAAAAAGACATACATAATGGATGGATGGATGGATGGATGGATGGATGGATGGATGGATGGATGGATGGATGGATGGATGGATGGATGGATGG